GAAGGAAAGGTTTATTTCACTTACAGTTTGTGGAGGTTTCAGTCCATACTTGGCAGATTACAAGGCAGACTGGCACATGGCAGAGAGATACAGCTCAGGGCGTCCGAACACAGCTAAGCAACAAGCTCACACCAGGGCGGAATGGTCTCAAGCACCTTTTTCCTCTCCGTTACATATGCAAACTATCCACCCCAGGGCGGGTGCAGCTCTCACACCCATAATCAATCAAACCCTAAAGGCCTGCCCCATGACCGCATGAGGCTTTGGGGGAGACACCCAAACACAAACCATAACAACATTGAAATTAAAAATACCATTGAATTATTAAAAATAAAATATCTACATGTAAATTAAACAAAACATTTACAGGACATATAAGGTAAAACTGCAAAAGACTGATGAAAGAAAAAATATATAAATAAATAGATACAAGTAAGTTCATGGAAGATTCAATCTGTCAAGATACAAAGCTATACATACATAAACACCTAAAAACAGAGCCAGAAAAATCTAGAAAGCAATCACTGATGTAACTGAAGGGAAAAAAGATAGTTCTAGAATATTTAGAGATGGCAATATCCCATTTTCAATAATGGGTAGAACAACTACAGAGATCAACCAGCAAACACAGGACTGGAACAACACTAAACAACCAATTAGACCTAACCAATACAGAATACCCAACAACCTCAGAAAACGGTTTTCTCAAGTGAATATGTTTTGTTTGTTTGGTTTTTGGTTTTTGGTTTTTCTCCGGTACCGGGAACCGACCTCACTACCTTGCGCTTGCCAGGCAGGCGCTTTGCCACTGAGCTAAATCCCCAGCCCTCAAGTGAATATGGAACATTTCTAAGCAGACCATGTTAGGCCACAAAACAAATCCTATTCAAAGATTCAGGATGGGCATGGTGGCGCATGCCTGTAATCTCAGCAGTTGAGAAGCTGAGGCAGGAGGATCGCCCCAAGTTTGATGCCAGGGTAGGGTACAGAGTCAGTTCAAGACCACCCTGAAGTACAAATGAGACCCTGTCTCACCTCCCTGCCAAAAGATTCAAATTATAGAGATGTATCTTTTTAATTTTTTGTAATAGGATCCTGCCATTCTGCTCAGACTGGTCTCAAACTCATAGGCTCAAGAAATTCTTCCATTTTGACCCCCTGAGTAGCTGGGACAACAGGTGTGTACCACCTCACGCAGGTCAAAGTAACATGTTCAATGACAATGGAATGGAACTGGACAGCAATACCAGAAAGAAAACTGCAAAATCACAAGTGTGTAGAAATCAAACTACATATTTTTTAACAACCAATGTAACAGGAAAAAAATTGCAAGGGAAATTAGAATAGACTTTGAAATGAATAAAAATATAAATACAATACACTAAAACTTATTAGATGAAGCAAAGTAAATGTTAAGAGGGAGAGGCAATGTGCAGCTGTGAATGCATACATTAAAAATGAAGAGAGCTATTAAATTAATGCCCTACCTGCACTGTTTAATGCACCATTTGACAAAGGGCAAAGTAAACCCAGCACTAGCAGAAGAAACAAAATAGTACAGACCAAAGTGGAAGGCCAGGAGCAGTGGCACACATCGATATTCCTAGCTCCTCAAGAGGGTAAAACAGCACAATCACAAGTAAAGCCTGGGCAACTTAGTTAGACTGTGTCTCAAAACAAACAAACAAACAAACAAACAAAAATGAAAGAAAGAAAGCAAGAAAAAAGAAAAGGTGGATGCTGGGGATCTAGCCCATTGCTCATTGCCTCCCTGGGTTCATTCACCAGTATTTCCTGCCTCTCAAAAAGATTAGAAGTAAACAAAATAGAAAAACCATATAGAAAAATCAATGAAATCAAAAGTTGGTTCTCTGGAAACAACAAAATTAACAAGCTTTTAGTTATACTGTCTAGGAAAAAAGAGGAAAGGCACAAAATGTCAAAATCAGAATTGAAACTGGGGACACATTCTGTTTCCTGTGCCTTTGGCATCATTTAAATCATTCCAAATCCAAAATCATGAAGATTTTCTTCCTTTATTTGCTAAGACTTTCATATTCTTAGTTACCACTTCACACTATCAAAACTATAATGGCTTTTACCACAAAAATGAAAAATAAGTGTCAGTGAGGTACTGAAGAAACTGGGAGACTTGTGCATCATGAGTGAGCTGTAAAATGGTGCAGCAACTGTGGGAAACGATTTGTTGGTTCCTCATAAAGTTAAACATAGAATTACCATATGACCCAGCAATTTCACTTGCAGCTATATAGCCAAAAAATCTGAATACAGAGATCCAAACAGATACTTGTTTAGCAGTATTCACAGCAGCACTACTTACAATATTCAAAAAGTGGAAACAACATATGTGGTCCATCAACAGATGAACGGAGAAGCAAAAACTGCTGTATACAAACAATGGAATATTATTCAGTCAAAAAAATGCTGGTGCATCCTACAACATGCATCAACCCTGAAAGCATTATGCCAAGTGAACTAAGCCAGGTGGCATGCTTATAAGTGGGGCAAGGGTAGGGCTCCTGGCTATTCTGAACAGAGTCTGACTGATAACGTTCAGCATTTGGGCAGTGAATCCATTAAAGGGGTCCAACCTGGCTGGCTCAAATGTTGTTAGGACATCTCTTCTCAACAGTTCCATTGCAGGAAGGCTGCACATGCAAGAATGAAGCAAGAGCCCTCTCTAGGAGGCAAAGCCCAGTCTTTGGATGTCTGCTTACAGAAGGTGGGAAGGTATGTCATTAGGGCCCACTCTCAATGCAGCCCTGGAGTACTCATAGAGAAAATAAGATCGAGAAGGATGAGTGTGCTTCATCAGAAAAAATGGTATCTTAAAGCCTGGTGATTGGTGCTGCCACTACCATAAATTTCTAAATTATAAGAAGGCCCCCATACCACCCTCTGGAACCAAGGCTGCAGAGTAACAGATAGCGCCCAGACATGCTGAAGACAGGTTTTAATTCATCTCTTGATGAGTTTTCTCCAAACTGAGTTTAGATTTATAAGTTAGAGACACTAAAAACTGGCATAGAATTCTTGAGGCCCAATGAAACTGAGCCAAGGTTCTTATGCACTCACCTTCATATCATTTCCATCATGATCTTTGTCCCTGAGACAATACTTTGCCTGAGATATTGCGTGGGGGCTGGGACTACTTTGTTTTCTAAATGTCGTAGATGCCGGTGCTGTGATAACCTTTGGTGACCTGTTAATTAATTAGATTCATTTTTTGTTATTGTTTCAAGTGAGGCTGCAGCTGAACGTGGGGGCTGAGTAGCACTAACTTAGCAGGCAGGCCTCATTGACCTGACAATCTGCTCCCTAGATGCCTGCCAATAGTGTTCTCTCTTTATTGCCTGTGGACTCCAGTGGGGACAAAAGGACTGTTATTTATTGTGTGACATTCTCAGACTACAATACCTACCCTCATTTCTATCGTACAGGATTTTGCTGAGGAGGTCAAAGCGACTGAAAATCCTAAAGTAGACCTACAGTGTGCGAATGTGGGGTGGTGAAGAGAAAAAAGAATGTAAATTTATGAAGATGGCCTGAAATCAGCAATGCTCCTACAGAAATATTTATAGCTACACAATTCCAAGGTAAACAATGGGATGGACCAGGAGTTCCTGGGAGGCAAGAGTAAACCAGACATCTAGACAGAGTAACTCCACACTCATCCTGTGAAGGCAGAAATGGGCATGTGCTCTCACCAGTCCCAGATAGGTGAGGAAGCAGGATGCCTCATAAAGACAAGCTGCCAGCACTCCAAAGCCTCTCTTCACCTCTCCAGGTAGAGTTCCACACCTGGTCAAGTAGGCACTGAAGGCAGAAGAGTAAGCCGAATTTTGTAATTATTACAGTTAATTATAATTGCTATGTATACTTATCAATCTTAGTGAGTCTCACAAGAAAGTATCATTACCAGCTTCGTTCAACCCATCACTTTCCTCTCTCCATTCCCATTGCCTCATACCCTGCAATTCGTGATCTCATCACTACACATAGGAGTACCACAGTTCTCACTTCCTTTCTCTAGACTATCTGAACAATCTCCAAAATGACCTGCTCCACATCTTATGTGAGGATTACAGAAAAAGTTCACATTCTTTAGTCTTTATGATCCATGCACCCGTTCAACACACACAGGTGCTGATGTGATCTGTCTATTTTCCCATACATGTCTGGGCTCCGGCCAAGACTCCTCCTTTACCACCCCATGGAAGCCATGCCCCTCTGTGCCTCTGGAGGACTTTTCTAACAACTCAGACCCATTCTCAGCCTGATTATTCTCCTCTAACCTCCCAACATACTTGGACTTGCCCACTGCGCTGTCCCCCAGGCAGATGATCTTCACGCTGTCGTCAGCATCATACTTTTCTTGGTCCAGCTCAGAGGGTTTGCTTCTGTCCTCTGCCATTGCTTCCTAGCTGTAAGAGAAGCCCTGCCACTGGGTCTTGTCACTCTCTGGGAAAGTCAAGAAAACGCTGCTGTTGGAGGTCAGAAGTCCCTTCAATCTCTTCTTTCTTGACCACTGCGCTGTCCCCCAGGCAGTTGCCCCTAGGAAACTAAAGGACACAGGCATAAGTTATATGTTAAACACAAATAGAATACTTTAGTCCTGCCAAACCAAATGCTGCTCCTGACATTCCTGGCTGTACACGACCACCACCCAGTGTCAACACCTATGTGCAGCAGTATCTTTAGCCTTTTCCACTCCCCTTACCCCAAGTAAGACTCTGCAAAGAGTCCCAAGAATGACGACCTAGCCAGTCTGCCGCAGTAAGGACTAAGACAGAGCTGTGCACTTGGGTGAGGGGCAGAAAACACCCAGAGGGCCCCAAGGTTGCCTGCAGCGCACAGCTACTGCCTCTGACAGGCAGGAACTGAGTCTGGCTTACTGGAGTACCCTCAGCCTCCGGCACAGCGCCTGCAAGTGGCACGTGAGGGCCCTGCCCCTTCCAATCTGCCGACATGCGACCCATCCAAAAGCCAAACCTGGCCTATCGCTCCACGCTCGAACAACTTCAATGGCTGTAGTTCTCGTTGCGATCCAGGGCGCAAACTCTTATTCGACAAGCATTGCTAGGCACCCACCGTGCCCAGGCAGCACGCTCCACACAGCCGGAGCTTCGCCAGCTCCTGCCCTCCCTCCCCGAGCACCCCGACAGGCGGACCCCACAGGCTGAGCTGTCCGGAGGGCGGCCCCGTCCTCACGTGCAGTCCCGCGCCAGGGGCAGAAAGACCAGGGTTGCCACACACAGGACTCACCCCGCAGGTCTCCCTCCACACCCGGGTCGGCTTCTGGCCAGCCGCGTCCCCGCAGCTGCTACGCAACCACGGCAGGACCCCGGGAGGGGTGTCCCGCTCAAGGCCCGAAGGCCCCCGCCGGGGCGGGGCTGGCTAGCGCGGTGCCTGACAGGCGGTGTGCGGGAATATCCTGCGGGTTCCACCGAGTTCGCCTGGGTGTGGGTGTGCGTGTGGGTGTGGGTGTGGGTGTGGGTCTGGGGTGGGGGCCTGACAGGGTTAGCTGCACGCGTCTTCCTCCTGTGGTGGTGGGGTAATCCCTTTTGGGAGGCGTATAGTCGCGGGCTGTTGTGGGTCCTAACCTTAGGAGAAATGGAAATTAGAACCAAAGCACAAGTTAATAGGAAAAATGCTTTAATTGGAAAGCGGGAAGATAGGAAAGGATTCCGGCTTAGGTGGCTGGAGGGGCCACACCCTGATACAGGGGTTCAGACCGGCCCACTCACAAAAGCGGGAGGCCGGCTTTCCAGAAGTAGCAGATGGGCTGAGGTCTGGTTCATCATCATCTCAGTCCTGGTGTCATGGTTCTGGACTCTATTGCTGAAAGATAGTTTTGCTTCCAGGAAAAGGTAGTGGTCTTGGTCACACTATGCCTTTCCCGGAATCCGGGTGATCACAGGCTTGGGACAATAGCTGGAGACTTTTGGGTGTCACTGAATGTAAATCTCATGGTGTCCTCAGTCTTGACGGGGGATGAAAGCATGTTAATTCAGTGTCAATCAACCCAGTCTGGCCAGCTCCTAAATGATCAACGTACCCTTATGCAGAGCTGGGAAAAGATTTGACCCAAGATTTATACTAACAAAGGGTACAGAATTAAAGTCAAACCCTGTTCTGCTTTAATTACCTATTGGATGTTTGTAGGCCCAAGTGAAGAGGTATGATTCATAACAAAAATGGCTTTTAAGTTCCAGAAGAAAACACAAATTATCATTTAATGAGCAGCAGGTGATGGGCCAGGACACTGCCCTGTTTCTGACTATATCGTGATTTAGTGTGGTCAGGAAGTTACTCCAGGTTGTAACTCTTTGGTGGACATTTGTTACTAACCAAGAGCCTGCATGGCCACAAGTGTGCCAGACTTAGGATAGGAGCCCCATGCTTCTCCCTGGTGTAGTCACTGATTCCCTCAGCAGGTGCCTTTTAGATCAGCTCTTGGCAGGACACTTCCTAGGGGCTTTGGCTACCATGTCCTCCCAGTGGGGCTGAGTGCTGTGAGATTGCAAATGAAAATGCTTGAGGAGCAGAGGAGAGCCATGTTTGGGCTTCCTGGTCCTTATGAACTGACAGGCTTACAAAGTAAAAGAGAGGGGGCTGGGGATTTAGCTCAGCGGCAAAAGCGCCTGCCTGGCAAGCGCAAGGTCGTGAGTTCGGTTCCCGGTACCGGAGAAAAAACAAAAACAAAAAAAAAAAACAAACAAAAAAAAAACAAAGTAAAAGAGAGTTTTCCCAGGTGAAACCAAAGAAGCACCTAGGCCACCAGTGGAGTTTCATTTTTACTCTGAGAGTAGAGTGTGCACTGAGGTTTGACAGAAGGAGCCCATGACCTGATGTGCAGATTTAGATCTCTGGAGAGGCTGCTACACAAGCGCAGGGGCAGTGCTGGCAGCTTGTGAGCTGAGAGACATTTGAGGGTGAAATGGCTGAGACTTGTTGGGTGGGAGAGGAGGGGGAAGCATGGCCTATTGGTATCTGACAACTATCTTGCTCTGGGTTACTCACTGCTATGATATTATGGAAAGCCAGGTAGGCAGGCGTTGGCCCTGCAGTGTAGTGTAGTTCCTCAGGCTGAAGGGTTGATCCCTCCCCGGGGCCAGGTCCTGTGTAGTTGTCCTGGGACCAGCCCACTTTGAGAGGCTGAGACAAGTGTTCTCTGGCATGTATTCTGCAATTTGTCTTCTGTCATGTGGTCTGTCAAAATTATGAAGTTAGGAGGGTTGAGGGCAAGTTATATTTTCTCCATTGTAGGGTGAAGCTCTTTGCTGAGATGCTGAGACCATTCTTGCCTTTGGAAATCCATGAAACCGAATACCTTTCCTGTGGGGGACATTCTCATATGATTTGATGGTGGACTGGACTAATTATTAATGATCAAATGGGGTACTAGCATTGTGCCATTTTGTATTCCTGGCAGGACGTCTTGCTGCATTTTGAGACAGAGGTACTCCCATAGAGAAGGCTGCTGGGCCATCTGTGTGCTCTGGATAAAACCTCCAGCATTCTTTCATCACAGTAGTTGGGTTAGGGTTAGGGTTAGGGTTAGGGTCAGGGGTTAGGGT